TGCTCTAGTCTGTATTTCTATTTTATAATGAAACATACAGCCTAGTTATTTATAGGCTTTCCAAGGATTAACTACACACTCATAAGAATAAACCCTCAAGAGGTTAACCTCATCCTCTTAAGCTTCACACACTACAATCCCAGAGATAGCTGGCAACCACAGGCAAGAGAGGCAAAAATAATCCCACATCTTGCTAATCCTTTAGCCAATCACCTCACGCAACAGTGGAGAGGCCTCTCGGAGGCCTACAATTCAATCTATCTCAAGAGAACCATCAATCCAAAAGATACGTATTTCATAGAACCATTAGCAACCCACCTCAAAAGGCAAAGTAAGACATACCTGGCTACTCGGTACACTGAAATAATGCATCTACAATGCAATGCTAATTCCAGTTTGCTGCTTATATTTCCCATTCAGATACTTGCATTTTCTACTCATAAAACTACCTAGTTTATTAATTGAAAGTAAATCTAACAGATTTTGCATTGTTTACATTTAGATAGTCCAATCTTACCTGTCTCTCATACTTCGTAGAATGAACTTTGAGTACCTTTGATTTATCAGCCAGATCATACCTCTCAAAAGAAAAGAAAAAAAAACCCTCATCATAATCTTCCTAATTCTTTCATATAATGATCTGGATTCTCCCTTAACCCCAAAGGTGGACACAGCCTGCAGCTGCCGCAGTGCCAAGGAGTTAACAGGTGCACTTATCTTTTAAGTCAAAGGTTTCTGTTTTGGTTTTTTTATCTAGCAAAATTGTTACGTAATTCAACTTTAATATAAAAAAAATTAAAATATGCCAGTTTTAAAAATTGGCAAGGAGGTTGTTTAGCCACACTGCTACCCCTTGGCTGGAAGTTACAGCCCTCAAGAACATGCAAGAAAAGTATAAGGCCAGAGATACGACTGTTAATAACCAAATATCATCCACAATTCTTTCCTGAAGTAAGAATTTTTAGTCAACAGAGGATTAGCACTGCTTACAAGCTCACTGAGTCCAGCTATATTACTTTTTTTTTCTTTTGAATGTGTCAATTCATTCTCTTTTTTATGTGCTTAAGATACACTAGGCTTTTGACTTCGTATGTAAATTCTCTGACAGAGAATAGAGCCCCATGAGACTACAAGTCCCTATCTTTACAGTCTGTCCTCTAATAGGCTTCCATTTTTTCAACTGGAAATTAAAAAGAAGTATAAAATAAAGATAGTTCAGAATCATCTTGGAGTTCAAAAAGTTGTTCCCTCTAATTAAAGGTTTTGTTCCCTTCCAGAACTGACATATGGCTCAGCAGCAACAGGAATTGTTCTAACACAGGCAAGCTAACTAGGAAACTCTTGAATCATCTCGTGTCAGGAAACAATGGCACATAAAGAGAGAAAGGAAGGATGGGGAAAGAAAGTCAAACCCCAGCAAAAATGCAGATTTTATCTAATCAAGAGAAACTATGCTAATGAACATCAGCTAGGAAAATTAAACTTTCCTCGTATCCTCAAAATTTGTTGTACATAAGTATCCTTGGTAGCATGACACCAGAGGCTACTTGATTGCATCTTCTACTGTTACAGATTGCTCCAGCCTATTTGCATTCTGAAAAGAAGTTTCATGATCTTTCATGCTTATAATAGATGTCTAAACCGTTAAATTACTATTTCTTTTCTTATCTTGAAAGACACTGCACTTTAACAGCACGGCCCTTCCATTGTTCTTTACACTAAGTCAGGTCCCTGAACAATACTGACAGCTGCTATCAAACTGGGCCATGCTCACTCTCAGTGCAGCTGCCGCTTGTAGAAACAGACAGGCTTCTGATGTCTCCTCCCCTCTGGGGAGAGAGCTTGACATGCTGTGAGCTCAGTGAGGGGGTGCAAAGGTCCACTGAATTGTCAACCCAATTTTCTGCTATTCAGATTTTCCAGGATGCGCACCGTCCCTTTCAAACAAAATCAAGCATATGTCAGGGCATGAAACTTACTGTGCGGCACAAAATAATTATTGATCATGTAAGACTGTAAAAGATCACTGTGACATACATCTAATTTTAGCATTATGTATATGCAAGCATCTACATGGTCAAAAGAAATCTTGTGCCCAACATGTTCATTTCCTCATTCACAGTTTTGGATTTGTATGGCATCATTCAGAAGCCTTTCAGAAGACACATGAAAGTATCTCTTCTGGTCTTAGATAATTTAAGAACAAAAATGCTGGAGTCTTCTATTCCTGCTCCCAAAGAGTTTCCCCCCTCCCCACCCCAAAAAAACCACTTCTTAATTGCATGTGCTACTTGTAGATACTATTCCTTTTCAAAGACTGTATTGTGCAGACTTTAAACATGCTTGAGGTAGGACAGTGCTACTTAGCTAAACCAAATTTTGCTAAGTCCAGCAGTAATGTTTTAAAATATATTTTAATACATATTTCCATTTACTGCATAAAATATGCTTTAAAACTGGTTCATTAAAATGGGTTTTCCATTCCATTTTCATCCTAAAGAAGTAATTCATTTTTAAAAAATGCAAGAAAGTACAGTTCTCTAATCTTTGCTAATCAAAACACACAAATGTACATGTGCTGTATTTCAAAGATCAAATCAGGTATTCATAAAGTAATTCCTTACACAAGCAAAGCCAGAGGAGATTGTGACAAATACAGACGTAATTGTGTGGGTTTCTAAGATGTGATTAGCAAATCAACTAAGTAACAGTCAAAATTTTATATGAAGGGAAAAAGCAGCTCAGTTTTGAAGGGGGGGGTATGTTTATGCAAAGCTAATCTGTCAAGTGTAATAAAGCAGCTTGAATAAAATTTAAGCTGAAAATCCACTGAAGCTCCCCATTTCAGGGAGGAAAAGCTATTAAAAGGAAATGAAGGTCACCCTCCCAGTTTATTTCACCTAATTGACTGCCAATAGCTTACCACAGGCAAACCGACTGCAGATCTGCAATTGAGAAACTGATGAAAGGAGAGTTTTCAAGCTGAGGCTCATTCTTTTAATCCTCCCTCACTCCTATTTTTTTTTTTCCATCTCCAGTTGGGATGTAATTTTAAGAACAGATGGATTAACTGGTTCCATTGTCTGTAGACGTCATTGGACTATGGCACTGTTAATCCGTACAGCAGCATGTCTAATTATCATTACAAAGTGTCTGAGGGAACTATAAAGACCAGCAGGGCATCTTCTCACAAGCAATTAACATAAATTGATAAATGAGTAATTTGAATCCGCTCAAGGCGCTCACATATGAATAAAATCAGAAAGGACAGCTTCTTGTTTCAGCTACTTCTTTCACTTAGTCTGGAAGGGCAGAAAACATGAGAAATATTCTAGACTTAGTGGCAGGGGAAATGAACTCATGCAGTGGAAGGAATGTATGGTTCAGAAAGTTCATTAATACAAAGCAAATAACTTGTGATTGACAACCAGTAACAAGCAAGTAGTATTAACTTATTTCAGCATATTTAGAAGCACAAACTTGGTGAAAGGCTATTAGAACACTGTGTCAGACAATTAATACTACTTCAAAAGCAAGTGAACTTTCTTTTCAGTAGCTTACTAATTTAAAATTCATGAAAGATTCACAAGAAAGGGAAAAGAAGGAAGAACGAATAGTTGTACAGGTTCCAAGAACTCAAGTGTCACAAAAAGCATGAGGCAAAGGTAACTAGATCAACTGACATACAATACCTACAAATAAAAAAGCAACTCTCCTAATCATTATATTTCTTGCAGCGAAAGTATTGTTATACACAGTGCTGTTGCACAAAATGATGTTCTGACAAAGTTCTAACTATTAACTTTACCTCTGCTAAAATCTGTGTGAAAAGCAAGGCAAACACCACAGCAATGCTGGGCATCAAAACAGCATTAGATATTAAAACATTAAGCTTATTTTAAAAACAGAAAAGCAGTAAAATATGAAAGCAAGTTATACACACTGTAGGAGGTAGACCTGGAAGGCCACGTACCCCGATGATAGCATTCAGTTCAGCCATGGTCACTTGTTTGGCACGTTCTACAGCTTGGGCCACTTGCTGCTGATGCTATTAAAAGAAGAAGGGGTATGGGGAGGAATTTGTGTTAAGGTATTGACCATACCAAATTAAAACAGGATCACAAACACCTGAATAACCAGTTTGCCTGCAGAAGCCCAGGCTAGCTATTGCAAGACTAAGATCTTATGCAGGTATAAAGCGAGAGTGCGCTATTTCTCACCTGTTCAAAAGCAAACAAGCGCCCTAAAGGAAGACACCTCATCTCTTTCCCCCATGCCACTTCAATTAACTTTATTAATTTGCCAGAAAATTAATGATCAGTTACTAATTGAGTTGGCAGGACAATAATGTCAACTTTACATTAGAGTCAATTTTAACATTTATATACTCTGTGCCCACACAGAAAAACCTACTGAAATTTCAAACAGGGAAAAGTGCTTCACTGAACTCAACAAGAATTACAAATACTCCTTGTAGAGTTTGAAAAGGCATATCCAAAATAATAGGCTTCAAAATCTAACAGCAGCTGCCCACAATGTGCCACAATCACAGTGTTTCACACCAGCTGCAGGCTTGTAACCTTAAACAGTGTTTTGCACCTGAGCTAACTACTCACCTTTACATTAAAATTCAATACAAATTACATAGACAAGATAAGCATGTTTATTTCACTAGATTCATACTTGACAACTGAATATCAAATAAGGAATCATCACGATTAGAAATTAATTTTGTTGTACTGGTAATATTTTACAGACGCCTGCTCCCCTCCGGCAATGAATGAGGCTGAGCTATTGTCGCTAGTTTGAACTCAGATTTGTTAGACTGAATTAGCAGGGGGTTTGCACACTTCAGCTATAACAGATGTTCCTTACACTTGTGCATTGTGATAAAATTAACATCTTAAAACTAGCTAATTTGCAAACAGAAAAGCAACATAATTGCACTTTAACAGCTGAACAGTTTTACTTACTTCCTGAGACAAAAATGGGATGACTTGTGCACAAATTGTATTCAATCTCTTGGCGATTTCTGTCTATAGAGGAAAAGTATTTTGATTAAAAGTGTGGTTTATGTTTGTTGCCATATATCAACTACTGTACAGGATTATATTAAGTTCACACAGTGAAGAAAGTAACATAAAATCCACATCTTCATACTACTGCAAACACAAATAGTTAATATGTAAGCCCAGAGGAGGACAGAGATTTAGTTAGCTACTCTAGGACATCTGCCATGTCTAAAGCACCTAATCTGTATACACATTTAGGCACAAATCTGGTCCTTGTACATAGCTCATTAACAAGTAAAGCATTTTTGAAATCCATTAAGTCCAAGATAAAGCCTTTTAAAAGGTAGATTTATCATTACTCAAATTATGAAGCAGCATAAGACGAAGGTGACAGGCATGGAAGAAAAATATTTGTTTCTTGATCAATTTTATCTGCTTATTAAACGGTAAAATTAGTTTTGCTGACAGAAACACACCATCAGGAGTACAAAAGAAATACCAAAACAGAATCTAGGCAGAATGAAGACAAAGGTACAGACTTCTAAAACATCCATATTGAGAATTAAAATAATGCAGAAAAATAATCAGATCAGAAAATGTGATATTCAATAACAACAAATTAGTGAAACCGTGAGTAACAGGAAAATAATAAGGCCAGGAACCAGCAGAGAACAGAACAATCCTTCACTGAAGGGAGCAGAGAAGACAGCAGGATGAAGCGTTTGAGTCCCACTTTTGACAGTTTTATGCATCTCTCACTTTTGTGTCTCCCACTTTTGACATGAACACAGGATTTCTGTTGGGGTAGAGGGTTCTTTTTGTCTCATTACTTGGTCTTACCTGTGCCTACAGTTTTTCAGATCTATACATCTGCCCACCATTACAATTAACCCTCAAGTCTTAAAGGCACTCTCAATTCCTACAGTTTTCCTTAAAAACATCTCCTGCAAGTCACTGGAGCACAGCTGCACAAAACCAAAATTAGCGTCCAGGTAAAAGACCTCTGAACAGCTCTTGTCAGTGTTTGTCATATCATTAATCCATGTAGATATTTCTTAGGTTTTTTTGTTTTAAGACACAAGAAACAAGACATCCCCGCCAAGAATTGTTAGGCCTTCTATGCAATGACATGCATGAACCTGAGCAAAGATAAACTCTTTCAAAGAAGCCAGATGAAAACACTGCTAACTCATCTGCTGAGCCTCTCCCTGAGCCTTCCCATCATCCTGAGTTTCTTAGGAAGACACTGCAATGTGCTAATCCTTACACATCATTCCAGCAGTAATTAGGATACAAAAGCCACACTCTGCTTTTGTGTCTCAGCAGACAAGTGATTTGGGATCTAAATACAGCTGGCAAGCTGTAACACCTTTTTCCTCACCTCTGACAGACACTGGGAAAAGACTTGATAGCACTGAGACTTGTAAAACACCATGTCCCTCCGACATGAGCTGAACTAGGCCACCTGACCGAAGTCTGAACCTTGACACATCCACACTGAAGTTTTGCGGAAACAAGAGTCTCGAAAGCAGTTCTGGCATGGTTTCTTCCTAGGACGAAAAGGTTCCCCTTAAACAAGGGCAATGAAGTGACAGTTGCTTTACAGCAAACCTTTCTCCCCCTGCAACCTGGGGAACAGATCTCTATCCTCAGCAGAAACAGCTGCCATTTCACAGAGTACCAGAGTGGTCCATTTCAGTTTTGTTTGGGCCATGACCATAAAATATCCATCATTCTGTGTGTGGTCTTCAGTACAACCATACCAGCAAAGGCAACACAAAGAAGTTACCAGCTTCACTATTATCAGTTATCAGACTTAACTATTACCAAATCTGTTGGCAATTTCAGTGTCTGTTAACAAAGGGGGCAAAAAAACCCACACATGACTGATAATTCATGTACTAAAGGGCATTTTTCCACATACGTAGTATGTCTCTCCAGAAAGGAAGGTATGTCAGCAGTGGAAAAAGTCTTTGACATAGGAGTCTGGCTGGCTGATGTTTAGCTAAGGTATGTAGGGTCCAAAAATTTAATTGTCCTAGACCAATGGGATTACCTTTGTTTTCAGGATAGAGATCAGGATGAATCATAGCGGGTGGTAAGAAGGAAAAGAAAAAAGTAAAATAAGAAGTTTGGTTTCTGCTAAAGAGGTCTTTGGTCTGTATAGTCTACACAAAAGTCTCCCATTCTGCCATACTAAGTATTCTTATTGTACCTGTTAAAAAAACCCAGTCTATTTTGAGTAGAGTCTAAAACATGCAAGCTGTCCACATTATTGGGTTTCCTGCATAGATTCCAAATACCCGAGCTTCACTTAATAACATAGCATCCAGGTGGTACACAGTAAGATAAGAGAATGCAACATCATGAGATAATTACCAGTCCCAACACAAATTGATTAGATTTTTTTAAATTTTATGAGGGGGGGACAGGCATAAGCAACTTTCCTCCTTTTCCAGTCAATCTTACTTTAAAATTATTGTCTCAGTACTATCACACCTGACTTAAAACCAGAACTGAAAAAAATTTATCCTTCTGAGTTTGTCTTTACCAAAGCAGGGCATCATTGATGATCATATATGAACAGCATCCTTAATATTCATCCACAGTGCTAGGTAAACTTAAATGTATACGCCATAGGTAAGTTTATTTTGAGGTTTCTTGCTGCTGTTATAAGTGCCAGTTAAGAGATATTTACACTGAAAGAAAACAGAAAAGACTATTCTACACTTCATAAAAAAAAGTCTGCTTACATTTAAAAGGCTGTTGGCCTGCTTGCACTATTTCTCACATACAATTAAATAAAGTACTTAAAGTTATTTATCCACTATGAGATCTCACACATCTCCCGTTTGCTGCTCTCAAATGTTTAGTAAAAACTATTCTTATTTACAAACATCTTAAAAAAAAAAAAATCTTTGTTCTCTAGTGAGTTGTGAAAGTTAGGTTTTAATGCACAATTCACCTAATCTTGCCCATCATTAGTTGCAAGAGGTTGTTTTCAGAATTGAGATAAGGGAACTTCCAATACTTTAAATACAAATCTAGCTGTTCAAAGGGCAATGTACAACTCACCTTTCAAGGTGAAATATCTTTGAGTGTGTATGTGTATATGTCTAAATACATATATTCATTCTTGAAAGCAAAAACTTTTTAAGGAGTCAATGAGGGCTTCGGTAATCCAAAACTAGGCATCAGTAATTGGTGGCATTAGAGTAAACTCTGTATTCTAGATTTGGGGCTCATGCACTTGAAAGTCTTAAAAGAAAGGTATTATCAGTTACTTCTAGAGGCCCCCCAGTACAACATAGCTATTACTGAGCTGCTGATCTTGAGACATGCAGGGCAGTCAGAAGAATGAGTAAATAGAAAATTTTGCAGTAAGCTGTTGGAGCATCAACAAACATGACTAATTGCCCAAGTTCTTTGGCTCCTTGGTAAAGCAGATTGCAGAGGCCTGCATCTCATGAAAGCCCTCTTAGGTCTAAGGCAGCTCTTAGCAAAGCATCTGAAGTACCCTTAATTGTTTGTGTTCCTAATGCAGAGCCTCTTGAATACATTCATTTTTAATAGAGGATTTGAGCGCGGGGCCCATCAAAGAATGACAAAACTACATCATTCACCGGTTCTTGCTGTTGCAATGATTGTCTTTTGATTTATTTGCAAATGACAAGCTTGTCAGACCCCTGACTGAAGTGCCACCCTCATTTCTGAAGTATCATTAAAAATTAACATGAAGGAATTCAGCTGCATTTTCTAAAATTGAGTCAATGGATTTTTTTTTCTTAACTCCTGTAATTCTTCTGCCTCCATTCCATCTAATTAAGGACTTAAATGTTTTGACCTAACCATTGCCAAACTCAAGTGTTTGTACTTAAGTTTGTCTCTTGCTAAATAAAGTGAATTCTTAACAATATGACAAAGAACAAAAGGAGCCAGACTAGCTACTAAATATAATATTCATTTAAATAAGTCATTTTACTAAGTAGTTAAGAAAGAGGTTGTACATACAATTGTATTTTTTTTTCCCTTCTGCACTGTTAAAAAAAAGTATTGAAGTATTTTCCTCTACAGTAGTCTATTCCAGATCATTTTGCATTTTGTCAGCCTGTACCTTCCAAAGCACCATGTAAGCTAACATACTTAAATCAACATGATTTCTTAAACTACAAATTTTTGCACTGGAATGAAAAGAAGGAAGTATAATACAAGTATCCAAACTTTAACTATATTTCTCACCACACCTAACACTCGTGTATTTTATCACTAATGCTGGAAGCCCTAGCCTAAAGGAGCTACCACTCACACTTCTGAGTGAAGATTACAACCTTTCTCTGAGGAGAATTAGTTCATCACCTTTCAGCTTCAGAGGTTTCAACAATAATAATTTTGGGTTTGCTGCAATACGTGTCTACCACACATGTCACAGTAGTGACTGTAGCTATAGCTTCCATGGTGATCTAAAGCAAAAATTAAATCCTACACGTTATTTTTAACAACCAGTTGTATTGTGACAACTGCTTTATTATTAGTGCCGAAACTCTTCAAAACTGTCCAGGCCTGCCTTTACAAAATAATACTCAGCTAAAAGTGTCCATTGTATGTCAGAAGCTTGCTATTCTTTCTTGCAAACTGTACTTCCTATATCACAAACTTAGATGAGTATTTGAAAGCGCTCTACCACCACTTCTTAAGGATGGGCTTATGTATTCTCATTTATTACATTTTTATTTATGTAAGTTATTTCAACACAATTGAGAATCACGTTTGACATTAGAGTGGGAAGAACACAGCTTTGGAGCAAGTTTATTAAAAGTAAAGCACGAAAACCCGAAGTTCTGATGATACCAAAAAAGCACCTCCTAATCCATTCCATTAAAGCAAGAGAATCAGCCCTTAATGCACAGAAAACAATATACTATCAAATCACATTGACAAAAGCTTTAGAAGGCAATTCTGAAGTACTCTGCCTCCACTTCCAACATGTAGAAAGCCAAGTACAACACTGAACTCCTTCTGGAAGA